ATTCTCCAGACCGGCTGGTCATTGATAAAGAGTCGGGAAGATTTCATACCAGTAACGAGATATTACGCTGGCGGGAAGAGTGGTGCACAGGAAGTGATAACCTACAACTATTGTATCGATTAATTGTTGTTATCATTATATTGTAACTTATTAAATTAAAACAATAAACGATGACGCCAATGGAGAAGTACTGGGACAACCCATTCCCCTGTTAGCGTCGGTTCAAACACAAGGAAAAAAAAAATTACATACTAATATTGTAAGATATTGGATATCAATCGCACAACACTGACACCGTCTTGGAACGAAGATAAAGTTGAATACAAATTATCGTAATTATTAACAATAATTATATATAATATATTTATAGGAGCAGAAAAAAAAATCGATGATTCAAGTAAACGTCGAATGCCAAGAATGGACTAGCGATAAATTAAAAACACTATTTCGTTTCTATGGAAATAAAAATGCACAACTACGAACTAGTAACAAACGTAAATCGATACTATAAATAAGTTTTATTTTTAATTTTGGCCAACAATCAATATACGTACAATAGTATTTTAAATGTATTCAATTACACACTTAATAACTGATATTAAAAATTATCTTCTTATTCCTTTTTTATAGGGGACTGATGAAAATCGTTTTTCGTTTTCATCATTGATCGAAACTTTGTAAATTTATGTTGCTTTTATACGAGTTAATCATGCCTAGTGTTACTGTAAGAAATAATATTCTTCTGAAAACTAATTTCACTGCTTTCTTAAAATTTTGCACTGTGAAATAAAGTTAAAGTTAACATGTTATTATAATATTATTAAATATAACGTACGTTTTCAATTCTGCAGTTAAGTTTTTACCTACACCGCGGAGCCGTAAAATTTGTGAACAATCCAGGTACAGGGGGCGCAATTTTAATGAAAAAACTTGGAGTGCTAAAGCCCCTCTATCATTTTCATGTTCCTTTATGATTATTGATACCTACAACCCGTACAATTTAAAAATTACTAAAATATTTTTGAATTTAAATAATTTAATAGTTATTATTTATTTTAATTTTATATCTTTATTACACGTATAAGTTATTACCCTTCTGCATATACAATTGTTTCATCACATGATCAGTTTAAAATTTTGAGTGATGAGAAGGTCTTATAAATAACAATTTATCTTAAACTTCACATCCGATTTAAGACATTGTATATAATATTTTATGTATTTATTCTTCAAGAAAATGAACATGCATAATATATATATATAATTAAATTACCTGAATAAATTATATAAATAATAAATGATTTTAAATTTAAAGTAAGGCGGTAATCAAATCAATAATGATAAAATAATGATCAGACATTATAAATATTTTGACAAATCACATCATAGAACGCGAAAATAGGTAAACGCGCGTTGGACACTGAGATAGTAACTTCTTAATAAATAGTTGTTCGTGTGTGTTGTGTAAGGTTGTCCAAGCCTCAGTAGTGTTCAACATTTTATAACAATGAAAATCTACCGTTTGAAAAACGAGAAGTATTTAGGCATATCTTTTTTTCACCGAAGTCGAAAATATTAAATAGTTAAAAGAAAACGTGGCTTCGATTTTCAAAGATAAATCGCCTATATTAATTCGCAGCTGTTTGTTGATCCGTTTCAGATTGTAGTGGCTGTGAATAACGCTTTCTTAGCTAGTGAAAACTCTTCAATGAAGACTAAATCATTAGTCACTGAAGTTTTATTCAACTTGTCATTGACCAATAAAATCTCAAAATCATTAATAGACATAGGTCCTAATGATAATAATAATGAAATGATTGTTGCCATTGTATCAAAGTTTCCAAATGTTCCAGAAATGAAGATATTTCATGATAAATGTATAAAAGGATGTGAAACTAATCTTTCACAACATTCAGAAAATATCAATGAAGATTTAATCAAGATATATTAAAAAATTAGTCAAATAGAAAATGAAACCTCAAGTCTGCTTGAAACTTTTGTTACTGGAATCGCTTGTAAATTTTGTAAAATTCATATAATTTCGTCGTAGTATTTGCAGACATTATTTCATTATTATTATTATTATTTTCAAAACTAAAACAATAGACATTATATGCGTTTAAAAATTAACAATATTTAATTATTATAGTCAAACAAATTTAATATCCAATTCGGTATAGTTAGTTATGATTTTTGGTGATTTCTTACACTACTAGTTACATACATCACGAGGTCTTATACTTAGTATGTTGCATTTTTCTCAATCTCGAACTATCATACAAAACAGAATATATCAAAATGTTATTTTCCATATTTTCACAGTTATTGTGGTAGTTGTTGTTTCCCTTTTTCTTCTTACTTTTGATTTCAAACACAAATGGAAAACAAAAACATAAACATACGAGTATGTAATGTATATCGTGGAAAATAAGTTTAAGACAAAACATATTTTTTCCGCATTTCGATGTTTCGTAATAGAAAAAATTAAATAAAATGTTCTAAATGTGCGTGCAAAAACTTATTACGATAATATAACAGTTACAAAGGTGTAAATCATAAATAATTGAAGGTATCTTAAAAAATATATGAGATTCAAGAAAAACTTATTCATCGGCACTGATGTACCACAATGTTGAATAAAAGAATCAAAGTTATGTTTATTAGACTGTTTATGCATTATAATTTATTAAACATGCCTACACGATTTTATGCCAAAAGCATAGGCACAAATAGGGTGGGGCTTAGGGGGACTAAGCCTCCTTGAAGTGAATTCAGCCCCCCGGATTAATTATCGTTTTACATCGTATAAATACATTATTTTTTATGATTGCTATTTTTTCTATTTAAGCTCTTCTCTTGCAACATTTCATCTCTTAGTGATTATAACTAATAATGATAATTTAATGTAGAGATCCTATACGTCCCATATTTTACGGGATTGTCCCGTATTTGGATAAAGTGTCCCGGTGTCCCGACACAAGTATAAAAATAACACTTTTGTCCTGTATTTTATATAATCCATTTCATACGTTCCTTATTTTAAAAATTAAATTTTTTAATATCATTAAGCTTTTTAAATTTTACATTATTGATAAACCATAGTATCTTATTTAAATTATATTAATAATGATAATATTTGATTAAAAAAAAAAAAAAATCTAAAAAAAATAGGAAATTCACTTAATTATTTGCTTTTAATTTTAAATATAATTTATATTTGTTTGAAGTATCAAATATTATGTTTAACTTTATTTTATAGTTTATTTAGTAACTGTGAGGAAAATGAAATGTTACAAGGCCAAACGTAATTTTAGCTTCCAAATATTTACAAAGAATTTGTGTAACAAACATCACATGGTATTTGGTTTTGTAATATGTTAATTGTTAAGACAAGTCCCCTTACACCCTCCCCAAATTAACACCAATGGGAATTTAAAAAAAATATATAATTCAAAATGTCCCGTATTTTCAAAAAAATAATTTGGGATTCCTAATTTAATGATAATTTTTGATAATTTAAAGCTATGAGGACAAAGCCCCTACTTATAATTTTTGGTTAAAAATGGTACACTGAATTCGCCTCCCCCCCCCCCTAATGAAATGCCATATTTGCGCCTATGTACAAAATATTGTTAGCACCCCTTGAAATTCAAACCTGCGCACGCCTACGAGTACAGATGAAATCTTCGAACTCTTTGGAATACTGTTTGTAGTACTCCTTGGACGGTCCGACGGTAACGAAACACATTACCGAGTTAACAGCGCTGCTGCGGTTTCCCGCTCTGGCGGCTCCTGGACTCGTTTGGCGCGGCATGATAAGAATATAGTACGACGGAAACAGAATCCGAAAATCGGTACGTTGTACGTCTTGGGATTAATAAAACGTTTTATTTGTTATGTACGTCCACGTTCAACGTGTAATTATTTTTAGTTGGCTAACGGCTATACGTTCTCGTCTTGCAACGTTTTCACTTCGATCGGCGGCAGCGAGTTAACAGATTTATTTTTCTGTTTGCTGACTCAGCATCATTATACTTCTCCAAATCGTGGGCCGACTCTTAGTACTAACAACAGTTGTAAGACAGCACTGCTGTGTTCAGTTAAACCCGAGGTTTTTTTTTACTGCAAAATAGTAATGGATAACATTCCAAGTCCGTCCTCGTCCATCGACGAATCTGAAACCTACTTAGAGAAATTCGAACTGTACAAAATTCAAATGGAAAAAGTTCAAAATTTGGTCGATGAATTGAGCGGTAAAAGTATGTAACCCTTCATTGATTTTGTGCGTTTCGTTTGTTGCATTATTTATTCCCTCAGTTGTTGATAAGACGTTATGCGATGAGGATTTAAATACCTTACGAAAAGAAATGAAGTTAATGGTAGATCTTGAATGTGAAACGAAACCTTCTCAAATCTGTAAGTATTTCCTTCTTTTTTAATAACTATAATTATTTTGTTCCGTTCAGTGACTTGCATTTTGATAATTTATTTTAGTGTCCAATTTTGTGAATTATAAAGTGAGGTCTTTGAAAATATTGCAAGAATCATTTCGGATATGTAATTGGCTCATGGAAAAAGAATGCAACGAAATTGACAATATATTTGATATTAACTCATATATTGATAAAATTGTATGTGAATCATTTTGTTACACACAGATGTATTATATGATATGGCTTAATAATTTAGACCGATTTCTACATGTATATGTTATTGTTAAAATCTTTAGCTTGATGCATGCACTGATAAAGACGATCCTTTGGACAGTATGAATACCTTATTCGAAGATTGTTTTATGAATACAAATAATTTTTGTTTAAGTTTTTATGGTAACATTGCTTTAGAAACAAGCACTGATTCTACAGTTATAACACAAACAAAGAAAGAACATAAAAGATCGCAAAAACGTCGATTAGAAGAACAAATTGTTCCTGATGAGGTAATATTAAATTGTATGATTTTTTAACTTTACAAAGTTTAATTGTTGACATTTTTCCATTTAGGTGTATAATTGTGAAGATGATAATGATATGCAAGTTATTCTAATAGCAGTAAAAAATTGTTTGCAACAAGCTATACAAAAGAATAATGGAAACCCAATATCATTCTTCAAATTTGCTATTAACCCATACAGTCTGTCACAAACTATAGAAAATTTTTTTCATTTAGCTTCATTAGTAAAGGATCGTATTGTGATAATTGAAAAAAATTCAGGTTTTTTATTTATTAATTAAATTATAACAAGTTAACTTTAGCTTTACAATAATTTAAACTGACTTTTTACTTACTAAATCATAATTTATTTTTTATTTATTTATCTGTTTTGTATAGATTGTAATGATTTTGAATCAGCAACCATAACAATAAACAAGAAAAAAATTAATATGAATGTTACTCGGAATAGAAAAGATGATTTTATATCATCACTACTTACAATAAACCATGATTTATGGAAGGTAAATACTTTTAGGTTACTTACTATTAGTATAAAAAATATATCTGAAAGTTTTGTTTTAACTTACTCTGTATGTTCAGTTATATTTTTAGTTTTTATTTTAATAATTGTTGCAATCATTATAACTTATGCTTATCCAGTGCTCAACTTAAGGGGGGGATACAGGGGGACAGCGTACCCCTTCTTATTTTTAGAAATTTGAGTATCCCCCTACTATTATGATGTTATAATTATAACTAGGGCTCGGAAGTTATTGAATTGTAAATCATGAAAATATACATGTAAAAATGCATTGAAATATTTAATTAATAAATATTAATTGAGTTATAATTTTTATTTTAAATGCAATTTGATAAATAATTTATAAAAATAAATTATATAAATAGTAAAAATGTGTATTTCTGTTTAAGTTTCAGTTTTCTTCAGAGTTTTCTTTTAATGGCTCTGAAAAAATAAACAATTTTTTTTAAGTACCTATTTTTACTATTTATTTTGTATATTATTTTACCTTGGAAATTGCATTGAACAATTAAAGATTTTTTAATGTTTTTGAATTTGAACGATTGTCGATTGGAAGTGAGTACGTTTTTGTACTCTGAAAACGAACGTTCAACGTCGACTGATGTTATTGGGCTGTTTTTCATGTACGTAAGATAACTCCAATCTTCGGGTGTTCCATCTATGTTTTCTTCTCCATTTAGTATATCTGATATTTTTAAAACATCTTGATAGCCTTTATTTTTTGATAAAACAGACTCAATCTTAATTTTAATTTTTTCCCCCATTTCCCATTAATTTGAATTAATTTTTTTTTTTGCCCCTTCGACAATATAAATAGAATCTACAAGTGGAATTCCTTGTTTTTCAAGTCTTGTTAATAAATCGGGTAAAAATCCGAAAAATTTGATTTAATAAATACAAGTTGAGCTTCAATATTTTGATCAGAAAGATACTTTTTTGAATTTTTTATTGATACTGCATCATTGTCATCAAAATTATTAATGATTAATTTTATTTGCTCATAATTTTCACAGTAGTAATTCGCTGCCTTTATTCAAGTACCCCATCTTTTCAAAATTGTTTCAGGTTGTAGTGATAGAGATGGGGCTATTGACTTAAAATATTGAATGCGAGAAGGTGCTTTACGGAAAACCTTTTTCACATTTGCAATTAATTTGTCAACTTTTGGATATCCTGTTCGTACAGTTTCTGAGATCCTATGAAATGCATTGGCCAAACAAGTAATGTGTATAGCTTTTAAATAAAATAATTTAATGGCTTCTCCAGCTTTAACCATATAGGGGGAACCGTCTTTAATAAACAATAATACTTTATTGTCCTGAACACCTTTTGGCCAAAGTAAATTCATAGATTTATCAAATAATCTACAAATTGTGGAATGATTACATTTTTCGAACTCCTCAGAATGTAAAAGAAAAATATTACTACTCTCAGAGTCATTTAAAATTCCAATAACAGTATTTGCTACATATCTACTTGTACAATCGGTAGTTTCATCTATTGACACCCAAATACATTTATTTTGAACATAATTCCTTACTTTTTGAATTGTATTTTCATAAATTGCATTAACATAACCTTTTCGTAATGTTGATTCAGAAGGAATATCTTTACCAGTGTTCTTTGATAAAAATTCTTTAAAATACGGATTTGATAATTTATTCAAAGGTATGTTTGCTGACAACAAAGCCTTACATAGATCGTGACTAAATACAGATTTTTTTGTAGCGTCCGTTATAAATTGTTGTGTAAGTATTTTACTTGTACTTGGATGATTTTCAACACGCTTAGCTGCCCACTTATGTTTTTTCGTCTTCGTATGTTGGGTGACAATAAACCTTTTATCGACGCTCACATTCGTTTCACAAAAATTACAAAACAGTACATTTTGGTCTGCTAAAAAAACATCTGACCCGAATTCAGTAATATATTTTTTAACTAAAACAATTTTTATTTGCTTAGGCATATTTGTTACGAAATTAAATTAAATTAAAAATGTAATGAAATTTGCAACAAAAATAAAAATAAAATGTTATGATTACGCACACTAGACGGCAAGACACGAAACTGATATGTTGACGGTATAGCTAACAGAGTAACAAATAACTATGAGCTGAACAGGAAATTATTTTAAAAAAAAAACCAGAACGTTCTCTTTAAATATCTTATCTTTATTTGTTGTTAGACGTTTTGACTTTTTCTGACGTTTATCGATAATAATTGTGCATAGAAAAATATAACTACAATAAGTAATAAGTTATTATAAGAAATATTCTACGTCAAACTTAAAATATAGCATATTATATGCATAAAATTAATAAATATGCATTTATTGAGAAAAAATGGGTGTTTTCATTAAAATCTCAATATATGCAAAAATATGCAATTTTTATTTGGTGTTTTTAAATTAGTTACAACTCAAAACGAATTTCTGTTTTACTTAGCAATTAATTGGAGTATTTAATAAAAATATGCAAATTCAATAAGTCCCAAGCCCTAATTATAACGCTTAACGAGTTTTGGGGATGCAATTTTTTTTAAGCAAACAGAGTCCCCCTTCTTTAATTTTGCCAAGTCGAGCACTGTGCTTATCTTATATTTATTTAAAAACTTACTATAGTTTAATGTATTGAAATCATAAAACAATTTGAGTTAAATCAAATTTTAATCTTAATACATCTTCTTTTCCTCGTTCTGTTTTCTCCCAACAATTTAGGCTCGGCCACCCTTGTCTTAAACCTCCACTCGTCTAAATTTTCTACATCTCCTAAATACACACCAACATCCCTCATCTCTTATCATTCTCAATTGTTTCCCATCATCTCTTTTTGATGTTCCTTATACATATACATTATTAAAGCTTGTTTACTGATTGCTACATCTTAAAAACAACAAAATATGAACTTAAAATTTAACATAAGGAGTTTTGTGACAATTACATCATTAAAAGTCAGTGGACTAGATATATACATTTTTTTATTCAGGAAATATTTAAAACTAAATTTATCACAATCCAGTTAAATAAATATATTATTATTTTCTTAGAATTATTTTCTAATATGAAGAAATATTTATTAATTTTAGTATATAAAATTAAGAAGCTTTATTTATTTTTTTTTTTTTTGCAGTTCTATATACAAAAATACAATATTCAAGAACAAATGATTGATCTACGATAAATCTTTTTTCATTTAAAAACAAATTGTTCAAATAAATTAAAAAAATTTAATTGTGAATAAAATATGTTTTATTATGAATATTACAGTATTAATCACTTTTACTGTTTTTTTCTTATGTATTCAATGGTGATTATAAATAAAGTACTTTTATTGTTATTTTTTATGTATAATATGTCAAATACTTATCAGCATGTAATTTCAAAAAAGAAAATCAAAGCAAGTTATGAAGATTAATAGTAATAGTAAAATTGATAAAATTAAAATGATTGCTTATGATTGGCATTGTAAAATAATGAAATTACTGATCAGGGTGATCAGACATCCCGTTTGAAACGAGATTGTCCCTTATTTGATCATCACGTCCTGTTTTCCCGACAAACTTCAAATTTGACTCTTGTTATCCCATTTTTATAAGATTGTCCCGTTTTAAACCCGTTATTTCCATATTATATAATGTAAATAAAATATCTATACATGAAAAAAATATTAAACTGTTTTACTTGTATATATAAAATGTGAAACCAAAGTTAGAAATAACAGATAGCAGTTTTTGTGGAACGAGTGTCAAGTCCTGATGCCAACCATATACCTTATACTAAGTATAGGTATAAGTTAGAATAAGGTCTATGATGCTGACAAACTATAAAATTAGTGATAAGCATGAAGCATGTTGTATGGTATATATATATATATATATATATGTTTATTCTACAAACAAAAATTATATATTATATTATTTATAAATTTATAATTAATGCTATTGGATATTATATTATAGTTGTTAATCGTTAATAGTTTTTGGTAGACACTATTGACAGTCGATCCGTGAAGTCGTTTATTGAAATTGACGCATATCTATAAATATGATAGAGATTTGGACTTAACTCTCAAGATTTGTGTGTACAACTGATGCTACTGATGTAATCCTCAAAAATGAAATTTTACAGGAGGCACTAAAATAAAGTTGTTTTGTAATCCTTATAACCTATAATGTTGATTTTTTTTTATAGATTTAAGCTTGGTATACTTATGAATCAATATTATATTTACTAAGCTAAATCAAATGTAATTTATTGTATATTAGTCCAAAGTTAATTAGTCTGTTGGATGCATTACATGGCGTTTCATAATATTAATTATTTTGGGTTAATGGTTTTTGTGGTAATGGTTACTACAATTGGTACTAAATAAAAAAACGTTTCCAAATTGTGTAACCCTCAATTAAATCTTTTATTACCTTTTATTATACAATATTATTAATAGTTATTAAAAATAAAATACTATAAATAGTTCTTTTGATTCAATACAAATTAATTAACAGAACATTCCAATTAAAATTCAAAATAATATAAAAAGAGTTTAACATTAAAAACAAAATAATAATAATTAAATGTTTGACTCAATACAAATTATTTAATAACAATAAAAATACTAAATTGATAAAAACAAAATTAATTCAATCAATTAGTTTAAGTAGGATACACTAATTGATCAGTTAAACTGTACATTCGGTGTAAGTTATGTATAGGGTTACGTTGAAGCTTACACTAATAGGCCTACAAGCATTTAATTGAATACACAATTTTGAATAACCCTCGTGGCTTACGTTAATTGATATTTGATTGTTGATGTGGCTTATATAAAAAAAAATAACTTAAAGATGAATTTTAGGTTAAAAAACGAATGTGAGGGTTACAATATTTGACCAAAATATGGATTAATCTCAGGTTTACATCAGTTGGCCTATTAACCGACATGTGTGAATGTATGTGGATGAGCGTTTTTTTTTAGGAGGAGGGGAAGTAACAGCTGTACCGTTTTTTTATTTTCTTAATATGGTTATCCTAAATTAAGACATTAAACCTGGGATAAAATGTTTAAGGCTGCGTTAGGTATAGTATGTGAAAAGGATATATTAGTTTAAAAGCAAATTTTATAGAATATTTATGAGTGCTTACCATATGTTTTTTGAATTTAAACGTTGGATATTGGTCTATAGTTTTACGGATCATCTCCTGTTTTATTAGGCTTTAAAATGGCTACAATTTTTGCTTCACGTCATATTTTAGGGAGGGTCTCTTTAATAGCTTCATTCGTGAAGAACCGTACGATCCAAGATCTGCTCTTAGAACCCAGGTTTTTTATAAATTTCGTTAGGTTTCCGTCTGTGCCTGCAGCTTTCCCAATTTTAAGGCAATTTGTACATCTTTTTCAATAAAGTGATCCATTAAAGTAGACCTATCCTCGCACCTATCTAGTTCTTTTTTATATTCATTTGCAATCGTGATGTTCTTTTGTTTAGTAGGTTTGAGGTCTTGAGGAGGTTACTTGCAACTGCGTTTGGTATGATGCTATTTTCTTTCCTAGTTTGTTGGAAAGCGCCAAGCTTTCTTAAATGGTCCCAGCTTTTCCAGGTAGAGTAATAGAAGTCCATAGCTTTGACCCACCTTTGTTTTATCTGATATGAAAAAGGTAAAATTAAATCAGCTGAATTGTTGAAAAAAGAATATTGAAAATGTTCAGAAGCAAATCAAACGCAATGTCGCAAATAGGTACAGACTGAGGCCTGAGTGGGTTTAAGTTAAGTTGTGGCATAACTAACCTCATCTACTTTGAGAACAAAACTTAAAATTTTTGGAGGACCTGGGTGTGTAAGTTCACCTACCCGCCCCGGGTTTCAAACAGTTGTTCATCATAATTAATCGTGGTACTTATTCAATGTTTAGATTTCTGTTGTACTGTTGCATAACGACACAAAACCAGACGAATGATAAATTGTGGTGTGATGAAAATACCGATCGGAACATATTATCTAAATGCCATAAAACATAGATTTAATAAACATAAATACAATGTTCATTGATAACCTCTCCCCCCATTCGGTTATAATAAAATGTTGATTATGGATTATTCAATATTATTCGCACGAACACGAACAAAAAATAAAACATAATATATATATATATATTATAATAATATAAATAAATATATTTATTTATTGCATGCCTATGGATTCTTACACATTCATGTTAATTCCACAAACTACGTTGACGGAGAATCGCGGAAAACAAATATATTATAGAATTATGGAATTTCTAAAATGGATCTATATAACGTTGTAGATTCTGTTACGCAGGAAAATTACGATCGAGGAAATTCGTGTTTTTTTATTATTGATTTGAATTAAAAAAAAAAAAAACATCTTCATCATTTCTGCATTACGGCGCAGAGAAGACGTTTTTTTTCTTAACAACGTAAACGATCAAGACTAGAACTTTGACGGGATTCTTTCGCCTTTGGTGTTCAACGGTTTTATCGTACGTCGTTTTCTATAAATAACATTCTATGACACATTAATAATTCTACTTATTCGAAACGAAAAAAAAAAAAAAACCGAACAGTGCGGACATTAGACCCGGGATGCGTATACCCGAGATTCCGATTCCGAGGTTACACTGTACAGCTTTCCAGTGCGTGGTGCTTTCCATGGGTTGGTAACGATAACATTTCGCTAAAAACCCTGAAATGCCAAAATCGTGTTCGCTACAACGATACGTATACGCTTTTACCAAGTTTCCTTACGTTTGTTATGTTTAACACAAAGAATTGGCGCTACGGTACATTGGCTGAGTTCGCATCATCAGATTTCTCCGCTCTCCCGTCGTTCGCACTCTACATTAATCCTTTCTGACAAACACATCACGCCCAGCGACCGCTGCACTAAACGAAGAACGCTCAAGGCACACACGTGATTATGGAGTGGGGTAAGTTGGACAATGGTTTTTCAAATTTATATTAATATGTTACCGACACCTAAGTATGTTACAGTTTATCTGTCTAGATTAATCGTTATGTAAATTATTTGTTAATTTTTTTTTTTTTTTGATCTTTACAGATGCCGATAATTTTGAACCCCCCAAGCCAATCATTCCAATCGTTGACATCGTTGGTGGTGCTAAACTCAACAAATGGGAAGGCGAAGATGAAGAAGAAAATATTAAGGTTTGACCTAGTATATTTTATTCCATCAGGTTAAACTTGTCAAGACATTTTTCTCACTGTCCATCATTACTTTTATATTTTTATCAACTACCTATGTATAATGAAGTTCCTTATGGGTACTATTTAATAATTGTATAATAAAAAAAACGATTTTTATAAATTCATTGATAGCATACTATAAGTAATGCATGTCTGTAGGGTTTTTAAAATCCCATAACCTTTATATTGATTAATGTGAAAGTTTAATAAATATTCATTGAGTAGTTTTTATAGTAAGATGTTTATAAATATTAAATTTATCCATGATACATAATTTTATTTTACTTACAGGATAGCTGGGATGCAGAAGAAGAAGAAATTAAAAAACCTGAGATAAAAGTCCCAGAAAAAAAAACCAAATCAAAATTGGAACAAAAAATAGCTGAAAGAGAGGTAAAGTACCTTTTCCATTACTGCAGTTTCATTTATAGTATGTAGCGTCATAAATTGTTTAAAATGTCTATCACATATATTTAACGATCAATTGTTAATACGCTTGATAAAAGTTTCATTATACTAGTGCATTTTTGTCATAATTACAACTTCAGAGAATTGCAACATAATCAAATAAAAATAGAATGTAATAAATAATCCAAATCCATGAAATACCATAAAATGGGAACTAAATTACAACAAATCAAAAATGCAGTTTTCTAATAACCATAATTTATTTTGTGAATATGCTTTAACTATTTTTAGAAATTAATTTAAAATAAACTAGAGTTGTTTATAGCTTACAGTATTTAATACAGCACGAATATGTTGTTGCCTATATTATGTAATTTCTTAAATTCTTATATAATATATGATACAATAAACTTAATTATTAAATTCCAGTAGTTCACTAATATCGTTATAGTAAATTCTTTTATTTCTGTCAATAAATCAGTTAATTTATACTTGCAAAATTGTTGAATCTATCGGTATTCTTGTCGTATGCGGTCTACTATATACTTGTTGTTTATTAAGCATGTTACGTTATATGCTTTCAACTGCCGCGCATCGATATGTATATATTGTAGGTTATTTCTGTTTATTAAACGGCGATAATAATAGTCATTATTAATAGTTACAATTTTATTTTAATTATATTAGTAATTTAATATAAATAAAAAATAAAATAATTGTTCAATTTTATTTTTAGCGAAAACAAAAAATAGAAAATGAAAAAATGAGGCGTAAATTTTTGGAAGCTGAAGAAAATTCAGACATGACACCCGAAGAAAAAAAGCTGTTACAACAGAAACTTCAAGAAGAAGCTGATTTAGAAGTAGCAAAAGAGATGTTAGGTGTTGATGAAGGGGATGAAGACTCAATAGATATGATGCAACCAAAATCGAAAGAAGATTTCATAGTTTTTGAACAAGCTCTTCAGAAAAAAATTCAAAGTTTTTCTAAATCCGAACATTATTCTGATTTTATTGAAGAATTTATTAGGAATTTATCAGTTTCCTGTAAGTGCAATTAAATTACTTATTAATTAATGTATGTTTAAAAATATACATGTATTTCATTTATATCAAATTAAAAATGTATTATTTATTTTATTGTTTTAGTATCAATCTCTGACCTAAGGAAATTAAAAGCAACTATAGATAATATGAGTATAGAAAAAATGAAAGCAGAAAAGGGAGATAAAAATAAAAAAAGTAAAGGCAAAGGAAAAGCTAAGTTGCGACTAGATAACTGTGCTGTAAGTTTTTATCACTTCATTATTAATAATATAATAGTTCATTGTATGACTAGTTTTCCTTCTGTTATTGATTAATAATGTAACACTATGACATAATAAAATTAATTTTATCTTATTACCCAGACTACCTTTTCCCGGATATAATTAATTCCTAGTTTAATTTGTCTTAATGAGGATATTTCAACTGAGAGTGAAGATTAGTTACTAATGTATATACTATATTATTACTATATTTTCTCTGGGGAGATGGTATCTATTTTTATTGCAATAGAATTTGTCTCTTTGCTTGAAAACCGATGATAATTCATCATAACTAGTAATATACTTGGAATAAAAAAATGTATCTTTATATTATTAATTGTTTGCACTTATAAACATGTATCCATTTACTCAGAATAGGTATCACATATCTTATGTAACAAAAAAAATATCGTGTCCAATAAAAAATTTAAAATTACATACATTTTTTTTATATTATGTTTTTTTTCTGTGATATTTAAGTCCAAATTTAAAATAAATATTTTTTCTTCAAACTCAAATAAACAACTATAATAAAAAAATATAAAAATTAAAGTTACCCAGTTGCATGAAAAGTATATATTTATTTAGTTGTTAATAATACGTAAACATTATTATTATGTGCATATTTGTTTCTGTTTTGTTGACCAACTACTGTAGTTTAGAAAGGTTAGCGATAGTTAATTTTTAATTTTGTTAGTTATATATAAGACTGTTTTGTATATATATATAACTAATAAATAATAAAAAGTTAAGCTTATGAGTTGTGGTATTATTTTATTATTTAATATGTGATGTTTGATATAAATTTGTTTTATTTGTATTTTTGATGAAATATTTTAGACTAAGCTAAATTAACAATTTTAATTTATTTTTATAAACATTTTAGACATTATATCACAATTTATTTTTACTGACTTGGCATAATATGTTGATAAAAGTTATTTTTTATTTTTTGAGGAAGAAACTTATTTTTAGTTTTCACATCCTATAAAATGTTTTTATAAACAAATTTGTGAAAAAGAAAAAATTGTAAAAGTTTTATCTTATGAACTACCTAAAAAATTGATAGTCTTATAGGATTTAGGTTATAATAAAGGAACGTTTCTTTACCATTTTTGATGATTATAGTTCACTCTCGACATTTTCATCACTTTAACCAATGTTCTCAATCATATCCAACTATCTCTTTTTTTGGTCTTCCTCTTGTTCTTTTCCTTTCAACTTTCATTTTCATCATTTTTCTCAGTTAAAGTTATCTAATAAAAGTAAAATATGAATAATAATTAAAAAATATTATTTATGTTGTCTTCATTAATTTATAAATTTTCCCTTGAATAAAATTAATTTTTAAGTTGTCAATTTTAACTAGTATCATTTAGTAATTTGTAAATATATTCTCATTATTGACTAATTTTTGTATTGTTGTTTCAGATTCCGGACTACAATGAATTTTCGGCCTATACAATGGATGATTTTGATGAGTTCATGTAGTGAAGTCATTCATTCAAGCCATAGACAACTGTGCTATGTATAATAAAATATATAGTGTGGATGGAGTTGAATTATAAATATTTTTTTTAATCTATTTTGTTTATCTTTATCTCATTGAAATATACAATCTTGTGTTGAAAAAACTCTAAACTCGTTTTTTTAATGGACATTGAGTATTATGTGCACTTTTTTTTTTTTTTTTATAATCATATGTTATATCATGACATTGAATTAATAACTCGTTGAGAACTTGATGACCTCAGTGTAAGCAGAACTACGTCTATTATCATTCATTCTGTGTCTATTCTATAAATATTTATTAACATATTAAATACAACTTTTGATTAGCTTATTTTTTTTTACAACAATGGATTTATATGAACTTTATGCAAATGCTGTGTCATTAGCTGCTGGTTGTGCATCTACTGCAATGATGTTGACACCCTTGTAAGTAAATGAGTACGATAAAGTATTGATATGTTATGGGGGCACTTGTTCGTCTGTGATATTATATTGTTATCTGCATCAAAAGTAAATTGTCGAACTTCAGTATTTGCAAATTTTTACCATTTCAGTATTGTAATGAATTTTAAAACTTGATAATTGTTTATACTTGTTCTCACCCTTCAAATTCTTGAAAATTTTTTAATTCCATTCTAGTTAATACATTGGCGCAACTAAGGGGAACTTAGGGAAGCTTAGTCCCCCAAATATTTTTGATTATTTAAAATTTAATGATAATTTAAGCATGGGATAGTGAAATACATACTAAATAATATGAGTATATGACGCAGAGAATTATTCAAAAGCAAATTGTATAAATATAAAATATTATAGTTTATTTTGTAATTCCTACAATCTAAATAATAATATGGTTATCTAATAAATGTGACGGACGACGGTGAAATATTGCGGTAGTGTTTTGTCATATTTTATGTAAAACATACTACATAGAAGTAAGTACATGATTATTAATAATATTTTATGATTGTTTTTATTTCAATTAATAATTATTGTTCTGTGTCTGCGGCCATGGGGGGTGAAGACCCCCAGGGCTCACACTGACTAAATTTATTTGTAAGGCTTCAGCCCTCCCCCCAATATTTTAGACCTAATTGCGTCAATGAGTAAATACCACCGGGTATGAAGAGTGACGACCAACGACGTCAAAATAATCTTTATCGTAACCAATAATCAATTGAATAAATCGACCGTTTAAATGAATTTGTGTAATCTCGAGGTCAAATCGTAATCGATGTAAAACCCATCGATTGTCTAATGGATCGTTTCGCGGCGGTTAGGTTACACTCGTTACCGAATTTATCAGTCATGTTCTACCGGTTGTATTATTGGTACTCGAACACACGCACCTAGGGCCGGCGTAAGGCTAAACGACGCCCCAGGCCAAAATCCCAACTGACCTTTTTTCATACAACATGTAATATCATATTACTTAGAAAAAAAAATGTTGTTCGTGGACAGAAATACGGAAAAATTATATAATATGCTCAACTTATACATATTTTGCTACAGTCTATTTTTTTAATCACGACTCATAATGGCTTGACGCGATTCCGATTGAACGATAACAAATATTCGGGAATTTTTATATTTATAGATCAACATACATGATAAAAACTATTATGCTAAACCATAGTAAATATAATATATTTAAAATATAATTATATTATTTTAATACATGGTTAAACGAAATGACCATTATAATTATCAATATTTCAATACGAAGTTATAGGTATTTCATATAAAAAACAAAAATGATATTACCGACATATGTGTAAAATTTTAAAAATCAATTTCGGCGCCCCTCTAAAAATGGCGCTCTAGGCGACCGCCTGAGTCGCCTTACCCTCGCGCCGGCTCTGCACGCACCCATACGTGTTTAGCCGATTGTTGGTAGGTAAGATCGTACCCGGTGGACAGTAATAATTCAACGAGACGCAGTGGTCACTAGATTTTTTTTTTTTTTTTAATCCGGCGGGAAACGTCCACTCGATCGCAGAACCACCAAGAGAACCGAAAATGTACATCGCGCACGCAATGACGATCGACTGTTAGTCGCGTAACCCGTACCAGTAGTTGATTTTTAATCGGGTTGACGGTGTTACATAATTATCGAACTTGGAAATCGGTGCCCCATCAGTCAGTGCTCGACTTGAGGAGGACGGAGTATCCCAACTGATTTTGAGAAATTTTAGAGTCCTCCAACTATTATTACGTTATAATCATAATGCTTAACAAGTTATGGGGACGCTCTTTTTTTTTTCTTTTTTTTTTTTAAGTAAATAGAGCCCCCCTTTTTTAATTTTGCAAGTCTGCCACCGGGTTTAAGTGTTTAGCTGTTGCTACTAACACTTCTCCGCGTTAAAAATATGTTGGTACCCGCGGTACGGGTTGCGGTCTGATGCTGTTATGTTGTTCTGACGGGCGTTAAAGTGAAAATCGCGAAAAATAAACAATCATTTGAAGCACATGAGCTCGTGAGAATACACATATCATTGGATTACGGTTGTATCTAAATGACTGAATCTAATGGTTGTGTGCAACAACTAGCTTTGGTCTGCGAGGGCTGAGTAATGCGAAAGGAAAACAGTATTCGATACGAGGAATTTCGAAGCGGTGAACCAGGCATTTTTCCTTAGCCCTTTGGAATTCGTTTGATCAAACCGATCGTGACGCGACAGTTGATATGTCCGAAGAAGATTTGCTTACATCAATATGAGATCTTACCATCAGTGCCAAAAAATATACATTTTTTTTTTTTTTTTTTACAATATTTCTTTACCGTTTTAGAGGGAGGTGTCAGCACACAACCAGTTTGCGAGGTGTATTCACACTTGAGCACGTTACGTAAAACCGATCATGAGGGTAACCGTCCCTAGTCAACTCTTGCGAATTTTAGAGTTAGCCTCGTGACTAGTTAATCGTCGTAGCGAAGCATACTTACAGGGTAAAATGCAGATCACTGGGAATCAAAAGGATACGGTGGGAATACGCACAATTTCGCATTTAGCAGTTTTCGATCATGATAGTTGCTTCTAATACATTTCGATGAAAAGATTTAATTTTTAGCCTAGTGCCGTTCGCAAAGTTTAGGTGGTTTTAATTTACTCAGCAGCATTACGGGTATGAACGCTCACGCAATAATAGCCGATGGTACGGAGAACTGGGTTAGAAGCGTTCCAGAATTCTATTGAGTTACGGACGGCGTCGTCTGTATTTACTACAGGAGCTATTGAATTGTAAATCATTTATTTCCCTTTCGAATGATAGCAGTAGCGTATCATTAATAACAACCGTCTGGTCGTATTTCTGGGTCTGTATGGTTTTTTCACATAATTATTCCATAGGTTTATCCTGTACACGGGCTTTGTCTGAATAAATGTCTCATATCAGCTGAAATTGGACTGTAACTACTATAGGGTATAGTTCGTGTGGGATAGACATCCTGCCATCTCTCCGAATAACCACAGGTTTCCTGGTTTAAGTAATAGGTGTAAAAATTGGCAAGTGGAACACACTGTCAGTTTTAATATCTAAACCGATGGCTACAAAAACTATATTTTTAGGCACACGTTTATTTCATCAGCACGTATTCCTTAAGGTACTACGGATTAGAGGTTTAACGAAAATCTCCTGCAAACAACACTGGTATACCACACACATTAAGTTCCTATTAACCATTTATAATTAGCAAAGTATTATTTAACGCTTCGATTTACATTTTCACCCTTGAACTAACGATTTGGGCTGTGCGTAGTTGATCGATATACGAAACTTTGAACCCCCTTTTCGCACATTCAGGTGACGAATTTTGAAAATTCTTTCTGGATAGATGTCTACGACATAAAAAGAAACTAGTAAACAAATTTCAAACTCATGGCTTCAGCAGTTATTTTATATATGTAGCTAATGTATCATTGTATTAGTTCATTAATACCAACAAAGGGATATACTAATTTTTATTTCTATACGAGTGTTACATCAGAAAAAAAAAGATCATTCATACCGATTGTCCCGGTTCAGGAATTTCAAAATCTGACAACCCTACCTTCTATAATGGACTTTTTTCGTATAAACAGCAGCAGGACCTAAAATTATATGTAGTGTTCTTTGAATAGGTAGTACAATTGTATAAAAAGTAGTAGGCTGCAAAATTTGAATGTGACAAGTGTTGACGTGTGTGATAAAACCTTATTCGCCGAGTTACAAACTTGCATTTTGAACGGCTTGACATTTTAACATGAAATACTTAATGTTAAATCAACTTGAACTAAAATATTGATAAATATTCTCAGTAAAGAATACTGTAGATGTTAGTGACTTCCGAAATGTACCTCTCATTGACAATATATTTTATGAATATTGATCTAATAAACTCACTAATAAATAATTATTATCTTTAATCATTCAGATTGTAATCAGAATAATTTCATCACAAATTGATAAATTAATGCACTCGTTGAAATTAATTTCCATGTAATATTAATAATTGCAAATAATTTAGATAAATTATTATAAATCAAAGAATAACATAATTTGAATTTTCATCTTAGGATAGTGAAAACATTATGTATTTTGACAGTTAATAATTGTTAAAATTAAAGCAGACTTTTTTATAGCTCACATAAATTGCATTTTAAATTATAAATAATGCATTTTAGTTAAAACTCTCTTCCATTTAATCTCATTATACATGTATACATATAGTGTACATGCATTTTCAGTCATCATCAAAGTATTTAGATAATCAGAAGTCCATTATCATAAAATTGGAAGATATTAGCTATACATTTAAATAAAATGACAAAATAATGTTAATTAATAGGTTGGTATGCAAAGAAATTGTGAAAATGAAAACATCTGACCACATAAATGTATCTACTTTTATCGGAGCACTTTTTAGGTAAACACAATTTTAATCAATATTGTATAAGATTTATCATTAAAGTTACATTGATTTTCAGAAGTTCACTATTTTATCGTCAGGGCTTCATCCTGAATTTACCAACTGTTATGTTTGTACATGGAATGGGTCTAATAGTTAATTCATTTTATTTAATGCTTTACTGTTATTACTCCAATAAAAAAGTAACAATTTCTTTCGAATTCATAATTTAGTATTATTAACTCTACTAATTGTTTTATTTTAATGTCATATAGAAGGATGTTATGAAAACTATACTCAAAGCTATAATAATGAGTTCAGCATTCTTGATATACTCATTTATAGAATCAGCAGATAAAGTAGCAACACGCTATCCAATTATGGTATCAATTGTACATTTATCTCTAATTGGATGGCCATTGCTGTCAGTTGTAAGTAACTGTATTTAATGGAGAATATTAATATTAATAAATCTGGAAATTATCTTAGATGATATGGTTTTAAAATTAAAAATTATATTAAATACATTTTTTTAGAGAGAAACTCTTAGAACTAAAAAATGGTCAGGACACCCTAAACCAATTCTGATTAATACAATAGTTTTATGTATTTTATGGCTTTTGTATAGCATAAACATAAAAAATCCTATTATTTTTGTAAGTAAAATATTACAAATTTAATTTTAACAGTATTCTAAATATTACTTTCACTGTTTCAGGCTCAATGCTCAGTGGCACTTTTATTAAGCTCAACACAACTAGGACTATTTCTATTATATCCAGCAGAAAAGATTCAGAGCAATAAAACTGAAAAACATGAATAATAAATATTATACTTATTTTATGATTTTTTGTTGTAATTTTTAAAAATGTTTGTTAAATAAAAAAATTACCCTTAAATAGTGTAAACTATAAAATGACTTCTTAAATGTGTCCAACATATTGTATAATTAAAATAATTTTAGGTTGACAAAAAAATTATATTACTAATTATAGTTATGGTGGAAATCCAGTTCTTTGAATGTAATTTACAATTTATATAAAAGGGCGAAGTACATACAAATTTAATGGCTATAGTACTATGAACAAAGTTGTAGACTTAACGATGATAACCCTTTTATAAAAAGAGCTGGAAACATTGAGAACTAACTGCTCATTATTGAACATATATAAATACTTAAGCATTGAAAGAAGCTAAGAAATTTGTAACAACAGTTTTCAATTTTGCATCGGTTTCATCTGAAATTTTTCCTTCCTTGGCAATACTTTCTAATAATGATTTCTCAGATGTCCTAAAAACATAAAAATAAAAATTAAGAATGATGATTAGTTATGAATAAAAAAATGTATAGTACTTGATGTGTTGTAAGAATTCTTTTTCGAAAGCAGTGATTTTAGATGGCTCCATTTTGTCCAAGAATCCTCGAACTCCACAGTAGACAACAGCAACTTGTTCTTCAATGGCCATTGGTACTAAAACACACATTTTAACAATCAATAAAAATAATTTAAAACCGTATGAAATATACATTAAAATATATTTCTCACCATATTGTCCTTGTTTCAACAATTCAGTAAGACGAACACCACGGTTCAAAAGTTGTTGGGTAGCGGCGTCCAAATCAGAACCAAATTGAGCAAAAGCTGCTACTTCACGGTATTGAGCCAATTCCAATTTCATGGAACCAGCAACCTAAAATTAAAGTTATAATTAACCCGACTTTACACCATACTCAAAATAATTACTTGTTTCATGGCCTTAGTCTGGGCAGCAGAACCGACACGAGATACAGACAAACCAACATTAATAGCTGGACGGACTCCCTTGTAGAACAATTCAGTTTCCAAGAAAATTTGTCCATCAGTAATGGAAATGACATTAGTGGGAATGTATGCAGACACATCACCAGCTTGAGTTTCAATTACGGGTAAAGCAGTTAAAGATCCTCCACCTAATGTTTCACTCATTTTAGCAGCACGTTCTAAAAGACGAGAGTGAAGGTAGAACACATCACCAGGATAGGCCTCACGACCAGGTGGACGCCTCAACAACAGAGACATCTAACAAAATATACAAATTGATAAATTTCAGATTATCTTTGATAAATATAATATATACTTGACGGTAAGCAACAGCTTGTTTGGATAAATCATCATAAATGATAAGAGCGTGTTTGCCATTATCTCTGAAAAATTCACCCATGGCACATCCAGAGTATGGGGCAAGATATTGTAGGGGAGCAGCATCAGAAGCTGTGGCTGATACAATAATAGTATATTTAATTGCACCTAAAAAATAAAAAAATATTTATATCAGTAAGTAAATACTGATTAACAAATAAAAATTAATAATCACATTATTTATGAACATATTCACTAACCAGTATCTGTTAATCTCTTTACAATTTGGGCAACAGTTGACCTTTTCTGTCCAATAGCAACATAAATACAATATAGTTTCTTCTTTTCATCTTGGGCGTCATTGAATCTTTTTTGGTTGATTATAGTGTCAATAGCCAAGGCGGTTTTACTAGATTATAAAAATGTTATTAGAATAAATATTAAATTAACATTAACAAATGTATACCACGATTTAACACTAACCCAGTTTGCCTGTCTCCAATGATCAATTCACGTTGACCACGACCAATAGGTACAAGTGAATCTACAGCCTTAATACCAGTCTGCATAGGCTCTCGTACAGACACACGAGGAATGATTCCAGGGGCTTTGATACCCACACGGTACCTTGTTTTAGTTGTTAATGGTCCTTTACCATCAATAGTATTACCTAAGGCATCAACTACACGTCCAAGAAGATCTTCACCAACGGGTACATCCACAATGGCACCAGTACGTTTAACAACATCACCTTCTTTGATAAGCTTATCATTACCAAAAACTACTACTCCTACATTGTCAGGTTCCAAGTTAAGTGCCATGCCCTTATAAATGTAAATAAAATCAGTAATTTAATACTTCAAACAATGAGAAATTTATAATATATATAAATTATTTATGGAAGACTATAGAAATGAAGAACATGAACATAAATATATGATTTATTTAAGAAAAGGTTATTAGAAGTTTGAAAAATTTAATTTCCAACTTAAGGATGTAGTTAATAATTTAAAGAAAAATATTCTATATAATAATAAAATTCACATTTATACCTTTAATCCAGAAGAAAATTCCACCATCTCTTCAGCTTGCACATTTTTCAAACCATAGACACGAGCAATACCGTCACCGATACTTAAAACACGACCAGTTTCTTCTAAATCGGCCTAGATTACACATAGTTATTATTAATAACAATACAAAAACATTATAAGTATGCAATATTATACCTTGGGTGGAGCTCCCAAAATTCTTTCTTCCAAAATGGAAGAAATTTCTGCAGCACGGGCACTGCATGTTATATGTAATGATCTACTGATAAGTTTTGAGGTAGTCCATGAAGCCTTGCTTATCTAAACACATTAAACATTTTAATTGAGCAATAATTAAAACAAATATTAAAAAATCAAATTTAATTTAAAGAAAATTGATGATTGATATGCATATTTTTATTTGAAAGTATTATATTCGACGTTTTTAGCATAGTTTTATCAAATATGAGGTCAAATTCAAAAATAAATATTAACACAAAATTTATACTTTTAAAATAATAGAAATATTTTAACAAATATCTACAAGAGGGATTGAATATTACAACCAATGATATATTAAATTGATACATATAAAAAAAAAAATAATCCGAAAACTTCAATTACAAGTAAAGGTCATGAGAAGGTTATGTATATGTACACAAGTATACTGATTGAGTGTACGTAAAAATGGATATTTGAAACAATAATAGGCAAATAAAGGTAAGGAATGATTACTAATAGAAATTAATTGGATCGGACATAAAATCGGAAGTAGAGATTTGGAAATCATACCCAGGTACGACCGGCAATAGGGTGTTGGTAATATTTGAGGCACACCGGTTGGAAATTAAAATTACAATTCAATAAAGCATACCTGTGGCAAAGTGTTGTTTAATTGTTTTCCAATTTTGGTGGCCAAACGAAGCGATAGGTTAGCCATTATGATGGAATTTTAAATGTGAACGTGTGTAACTAACTGGGTGTAGATTGTAGTACAAACGGGATGGTAACGAGAAAAGAAAATGGATGGCCGAAAATCGCCTGCCCCCCTGTTCCACGAACACCTATCTATGTGAAACGCAATCTTTGAAACATATGACTTTAGTGTTGCCAACGTGAGCAAATGGAAATCTAATCTGTAATTAAAAAAGAGCGCCAATGTTGTGGTTACACGATATACGATTTATACACATTTCGTACCCTAACGTAATATGAATTTTTTTATATTATTAATATAAGTAATATTTTTTAATGCAAATAAAAAATTGAAGCAATTGTTATAACTCAATAGCAGCGAGTTAAAACGAATTATAGTATTTCGAGTTCTGCATCCTAAATCGGATACCATTTTTTTTTAGTTTCAAATTGTGTTAAATGTATTAAAAACAAAATAAGTAAATACAAGTTCGCAGTTACCACATTAATATTTTCCAGTTATAGCTGTAAAATAGATTTCATTCTTGTTAAAGATACAGTATTGATTTTTCGACTAAATGTTTTTAAAAGAAATAAACATAAACATTGGTAATACAAAAAATCAAAAAGGGATGAAATATTTCAGGTTTTATGTCCTAATTTTGGTCAAATTTGTTACCCTAACCCTATCCCTAAATAAGGGTGGTCCAACCAGTTAGTGGTTCGCGGGCCAATTTACAATTTCTTAAATACACCGGAAGCCGTCAGGAGAAAAAAAATTATATTTTGTCTATTTATATTTTATTTTATAATTTTATATTATGCGCACGGGTGCACGAATAAACGTGGTTTATTGTATGGTTATTGATTAATGAATAGGCTTAGTTAAGAGAAATATTTAATGCTCGCAATTGTGAATATAATTCACCCCGTTCATTGCGTCTTATCACGGAACTCCCGTCGTATCCCTACGTTTTATAGCATAAACGCCATTAACTATAAATATAAAATGTAAAATGTATTCGACCATATCACGATTTTGTTAAAATATTATTGTAATTTTAATTTTTAATTAATAAAATAAATAATTAATTTAACTGTGGGGAGTCCAAAAAAAAGGCATCGAAGGCCGCAGGTTGGACCATCCTGCCCTAACCCATTTCAATCCTTGTATATAATCTATATAATTTAAAAAAAATAACTATTGAACAATAAATCATGGTTACTATTTGTTTTTAACAAAAATAATAAACCAATACGTAATCCGTCCAATATTTAGAAGTATTTGATTGACATTATTTCATAAGTAATATTGAACAGTAATTATCAGCAGGTAAAAATTGTAACCAAGTGTATAATGGAATTATAAAAATAAAATATATATGCTTCGTATAAAATTCAAGTTGAACTATTGTTCTATTACCTTAGTATTATAAATAATTGTTCAGTAGTATCTGTATGTCCAACATGAAAAATATAATAAAAGAATATAAGCAAAAACTAATTTAAAGGTTATGTAATTTTTACATTTTTGATATTCAATAGTTTTATACCTGATTATGAATTTCAAAATATTATGATTTTAGTTTAAATTTATAAATAGAAAATCATCTTCTTAAAGACTAAAAATATTATACTTGAATGTCTTAAACTAATGTTTCTCAATTTTTTTTTGTATTAATAAATTAACATTTTTCATACCCGGTACCAAATGATGCAAACAATAAGGATGACTGATATCACATTTATAATTTCATTACTTAAATATGCACTTATTAGACATGTCATTATATAATATGTTGAAATTGAAATAAGATAAGTTAATGAACGATGTCCATAACACATTAATTTCTGTGTTGAGTTTTCATTTCATTTTTGATTTAATTTTGATATGTTTTAACTTTACCTTATATTACCTGTGCTCTCTGTAATTTTAATGAAAAAAAAATAACCGCAGTTTGGTTAACAGAACTTCAAAATAACTAAATTCTACAATTTTTAATTAATTGAAAAATGAACATAAATACTGAACTAAAGATTTATAGATGTTATTATAAATTACATTTAATGACAATTAATAAAAATAATGTTATATATTAAGACAAGTTTTAAAAGGAAATAAATTGTTGTTTGGATTTTATATTAATATCATTAATTTTAAAAACTTGACTAGTGAAACCAAGTGGTATAATTATATAATGTTTTTGTTGTTTTTATTCAAAAGCATGAAAATAACAAGCCATTACCAAAAAAATTCTTATCGATTTCATTACATATTATACATTTTGTAATCATTTCATTAGTTTGATGTTGATTGATCTTTTTCTTTTGCATCTTTTTCTTTCTTTTCTTTAGCTTTAGCTTCAGCTTTTGCTGCAGCAATTTCAGCTTCCATTTTTTCATATTCAGTAATAAGTTTTTCGACTTCGTGTTTTTCAAGTATATTAGTGACAGTTTGATCATTTTCACGTTTGAGTGTTGCCATTTCCACTAAAATAAAAAAATTGTAATTGTAGAGTTGTCAATATTACAACTTATAAAACTTTAATAAAAATGTAGCATTAAAAATTTCAATACTCATTTCATTTAAATTACTCATAAGTTACAACAGTTTTCTATTAAATATAGAAAATTGTATGTTGTCAATTACACTATTCTAATATTAATAATTTATGACTGGATTAATTTTTATTTTACAATAGTTACTGAATACCAAGAACCATTTTACCACCAAATTTGAATATGGATGTTATTACAGTTAAAATATTATGTTATAATTGAAGCTTGGACTACATTAAAAGTTTTACAGTTGACGAACTTAATTATATTTAAAAATGATTGGATGCCTTATTTAATAATATATGTAATATCAATTTTAATAACTATAACTTGGAAGTTGTAGGAAATGCATATTGTTCTATATTCTCTCAATTTATAACAGACCAAGATAGAAATCTCAGCTATACAAAAGTGAATTTAAAAATCAAAAATTAAAAATGCATATTTGATGAAAAAAAAAATTTGGTCAAATTTAGGAAAAAAGTGCACATTTTCATATGCATATTATGTTAACGTTGAAAGGAGTTTTTCTTTATATAAAAATTTTCTATCGAATAATCGTCGGTCAATTGAAATTTGAAATTTTAAGAAAGTATTGTTAGTCCAATGGAATAACTTAACTGGTATTATATAACATGAAGTTTTTTTGTATTGAATTAAAAAAATACCAAAAAAATATTTTTTAATATTTTCATTTCAATAAGATGTCAAAATGCCAACCAGCTATACATTTAATCACTTATAGATTTGTGTATATTATTTGTTAAACATTAGATGTATTTTTTTTTTATTTTTTTTGCAGTTTAGAATAATTAATTAAAGATATAATATATTTAAAAAATATAGTTCAAATATATACCTTTATCAGCTGTAAGTTTTGTTGCATCTAAAGTTTTGAATAAAATTTTCACAGCTAATTTTTTTGCTTCGTCTAATGTCATCTGTCCTTCTTTATATTCAGTTTTCAATGATGCAATAGCAGCCTTAAATGAAAAATAAATAAAAGTTGATTGCTTGGTTTTAAAAATAATTAAAACATACAGCACTATTGGTTCCAATACAAGTTGCTTTCCAGCCACAATAATTTCCACTAGGATCTGATTGATACAGTTGGAAACCATAATGTGAATCCCAGCCCATATACAAAATTGATACACCAAAAGGTCTTTTTCCTAAATATAATAATAATAATATTAGAGCACTTAAATTTGTAAGTATTTGACATTGCTTACCTCCATATTGAGTATAAGCTTGTTTTACATCACATAACCATGAAACAAGTTGTTCACATGGTATAGAATCACCATATTGCATACGGTATCGTTCTGAAATTGATCGTAGTTCAGTAACCAAGACATTGGCATCCGCAGTAATACCAGCAACACTACATACCATGTCACTAAACATTTTTTTTTTTTTTTAGATTAAGTATTTAAAGTTATATTATGTAGTTTTAAACTAAGAACAGCTTAATTACTCATTCAGTTTATAAATTTTTTCTGAACCACAAGTCTCATCAAGCAATTTATTAACATTCCGTTTTTCAGCTGCAAGGAGAACACCATCATTAGTTAGTATACCCAAACATGTACCAGCATGACTGATAGCTTCAATAGCATATTCAACTTGATATAATCGACCTAAAATTGTATAAATAAATAATTATTTAATGGTTAATTAGTTGTTAATAAGACTAATACTAAGATAGATTCATGTAATATTACCTTCAGGAGAAAATATTGTTGTTCTAGTATCATATCTCCGTGCCTAAAAACAAACAAATATTTAAAGGAAAATATAATTTTAATACGTATATATATTAAATTAATTATACTAAAATAATTTCTAAATATAATTGAACCCTCAACACTTCTGAAGTATAATGAGTATTGAATATAGAAATTTACATTAATACTACTAAATAATAAAATTACCATTTTTTTTTTTTTTTTAAAGCTAAGTAAAAACAAATTTGTTGCAAAAATAATTATTAACTAATATTGTAAATAGAAAATAATGGTTCCTAATACAAAACTATTGATAAACAATGACAATACTCAAAATAAAATTTGAAATTCTGTTATTTAAGGTTATATGAATAGCGCAGCGTAATTTTACCATTTTATAATATCCTTGATAACTTTATCATTTAAGATAAGTCGAAAACCCGGCTAAGATAATTCAGAAAATATTTAAGACTGTGGTCGAATATCATACACGGTGCTACCATTGAACTATATATTCATATAGAGTTCAATGGATACCACAGATATCAATAATCAATTTTAAGTTTAGCATTGAAATCTTTGCACTGTGCATCCAGAACATGGTTAAAAAGATGCCCGTGGTCTCAGTGCCGTAACTACAAAATAGGAGACCCGTGTGCGGTAATTATATTAGGCCCTTTCCTAGGAGTTATTTTTGTTGTAGGTCTTATTTTTAAGTATCAATTTTTCTAGGTTTTAATACACGTTTCACATCAGTTAGTGTATGATATCAAGGGCGTAATTAAAGGGGGGATTAGAGGGATGGATCCCTCCTAAAAACTTTTTTTATGTAATTTTTTTTTCATTTATTATATCGTGATTATATGATTATTATCATTATTATTATTATTACGATTACTATTATTATTATTATTATTAAAAATTTTGTTTTGGTGGTGGGGGGTTACTGTATAAGGTGTACATATTTTGCTAAGACCTATAATCCCCCCCTCAAACCAAATTCCTAATTACGCCACTGTATGATATATGTATATAGGTATATCGAATTAGGTACCTATAGGTATGTTGTATGCCTATTCAAATACTCAATGGACTCGTTAAATATTATACTACTCTAAAATATAACATCCTTACCTGAATTTTAAATAAGTTTCTTTTTATTATAAAATAATAATATAATATTATTAAATAGTCCAATTAATTGAATTATTAAGTAAACTGGCGTGAAGGTGCTATGATCAGACTAAAACACGTTGGTCTATTTGAGACTACCTTATATAGGTATCCCGTCCTTGTGTTTCTCCTTTTTCCCAAGAAAATAATACGTTTACCCTGATATAGTCTGGGTTATGTTAAACTATTGTTTTATATTGTAATAATTACACCGATTCGTTAAAATACATGCGTTTCTATATAAGTCAATAGCAGGGCTCGTAAGTTCATGCATATCAATCTTGCAAAGTTGTATTTACTTTTAGATGACATAGAAATTCATTTCAAGGTATTACGGTTAAATATGTGACATCTTATTTTGCATGTTTTTGTATATTTGACTTATTTATATTTTATCGGGCATATTATACAAAATTCTATTAGAATCTATCAAAAATCTAAAAGGAAAATATATATAAAATTAAAAATAGAAATTGTATTATCTTTTCTTTTTTTATCTTCTTGATACTCGTACATTTAATGAATAAATTTGTTTCAAAAGATTCAGATTTAAAATTAATTACTGTCTAAGACGTACATTATATGCATTTCATAAAGGCTAAGAATAGTATTAAATAACAATTAAAATCTATTTTTTTTAATTGTGACATAAAATAAAATATAGCTATAAAAAAATGAATGGATAGGTAGGTAGTTCATGTTCTTTCAAAAATTATTTATATTTTCTAAGGAAGCATTTTTTAAGTGCATAATTTTAGATATTTAGTGCATATAAATGCATATTTTTTAACTTTTTAAGGCATATTTCAAAGCATATTTTGCCACTTGTAAGTGCAAAAATGCATGCTTATTTAGGCATTTTTTAGAGCATAAACTTACGAACCCTGGTCGTTAGCTATCGTTAGGGGTGTACTGAAGATTTTATTGAGGGGGAGGGGATTAAAGTTGGTAATTTGACTAACTTAACAATTCAATCAAAGAATTGTTATCGTTATTTCACCGAAGTCATTTCATCATTACTGTTAATAATTTTTCAAGTATGAATTATTTCAAGTATAATTTTAAGTAAACAATAAATACACGTTAATCAATTCATTAATAGCAATTGTAATTAACCTTTGTCATAATTTTTTTACAAATCTATTGGCCAATATGTGTAATTGATTAGTTTTTTTTTAGATGGCCAACTGAGAAATTAAAAACCCAATTATTGAAGGGGTATTATGACCACCCTTCACCACAGCTTATCGTATACTTGAGTCAGAACTTGAATAGTCAACGTTCAGAGACTGCTGCAAGTCATAGAGCCTAATTAATTTAACTTAAATTTATATTTAAACGTTATTATACAAGCTACATTTTCAATTACCTACTCTAATTTTTAAATAGTTATAACTGTAATTTATTATGGGTTATTGCTGGAGTGTAAAGAATAACATAATTTTATCCAAATTTGCGTAGAAATTCGTTACCTATCGCAAATATCTACGTGACAACATCGAAGTTCTTATTTTCTATGACTGTTTAAAAATCATCTAGTAATAAATTTAATTTTTAATAAATGTGGTAACTGGTAATACATGATCGAGAAGTTATTAAAAATGCAATTCATTGAATCGATGCATTTAAATGAACTTCATTGGTTAAGGTTTGAAAAATTATATTTGACATTTTGCGAACTTTTTTTTGCGAAGTGTATTTTTTTTATCATACTCGTATATTATTGTGATGATTGAATTCCCGAATTAATTTGACCCAGGCCTTTAAAATTCTCAGGACTACCCTACACATAGCTACTTTCCACATGTGTTTATATTAAACTACGATAAAACATCGTGTGACGTGTATTTTCGTAATTGTCTTATCCTACGACCTTGTAGTCATTGAATCCACGCTACTGGTGTCTATATATGATTATAATAAAAGGTATTCTAATGTAAGATTTTAATACTATTTATGTGGTCCCCGTGTTGTAGTAATCGTAAGAAATTACATTTATGTACGTACGTATCAAAGTAATAAATTAATAATTTATAATATTCATTCAATTATTTACGTTTTTTCAGAGTTTTGGACTTGGGATTCTAAAATTTTTTTACGAATAATGTATACTCTATTTACGTAAAAGAGTGACCAGATTTTATCGGTGGTTGGCTGGACATACCACATACCCAACCGATTCCTCCACTGGACTACATTTTCCCCTGTCCATATAGTATGGTACGTTGACTCAAGAAGTCGAGCGATGAGTACTTTAGTGAAAAATCAAACGGTTACAGTATCTTTTTTTAACTAAGTTAAACTAGACAATACAAATTTCGCTCATTAAAAATATGTCGTCACCAAGTTGATAACATTTTAAAAGACTGGGTTAGGTTAGGTTCAATCATTGAGTAATAACTCTATGGGTTAAATGCACGGTCGATAAATTTGTTAACAGGTAATATAATACATTATCATAGTCTCAATATTTACCTTCTTTACTATTAATAATTATTATACGGAGCTAATGTGAATTATTACCACAGAGTAGATTTAAGAAATTTAATATATTCTGTGTTTATACCATCATACTATATTGTATATCAACTATTTTGAGAAAAAAACTATTTGACATCCAGTAAAAATTCCTTATAAAATGCACTGATCGGTTACATAATCTATCATTATTTCAACAATTGAGTATGCTCATTCCTAGTATCAATGTAAAATTATTACTTTACTTTTAGCTATATGAACTATCTGTAATCCAGCTTCTATTCAAACATTTATGCTTCAAAATTAATCTTTATTATTATTACAGTATACATGAAATAATAGTAATTAATGTAATTTGTTAATCTGTGGTAATATAGTTTGTAAGTAGTTTGTTCCAAAAGAATAAATCCATACATGTAAAAATGAATAAATTTAAATTACCACTTTGGGAGTGACCACAAATCACAGGACTATTATAATTAAATAATATTTTTAAAATGTATAATATATTAGAACTTATAATAAGAATAAAAAAATCAACAAATGATAACAAATATTTTTAAAATTATTGATAAAATAGGATATTAATACATATAATTATAGAATTGTATAAAATCAATATACATAATATATATGGTGAAAAGAGTAATGACATTGTTCTTATTTTACAAAACTAAATCGAGATCAGATTAAATCAATCATAATTGGAAGAATAAAAACATGACCAAACACTGTAGTTTTCTTTTACAAATTAAATAATACGAATAATTATTATATTTCACTATATTTGATACTAAAAATTATCGATGAACTATTTTTTAAATTTTAAGTAAATTAACTAAGTTTCAAAACTTAAAAATAATGACTTTAAGGAATTTACCATAAATGGTCAAATGAAAAGGCATATTAAATACACGAATAAGACATAAAATTATAAACTTGGAATACTCAATAAGAACTTAACAATAGATTTAGAAAATAAAGCAACAAAATCTTATAAATTGTTTAGAGAATTCAATAAATCTCATAGTTAATATGAGAAAAAAAGAGAAACACCTCATTGAAACACAGGTTTAATTAAACACATTAAAACACACCATAGAAAAAAAAAAGTGAAATTAGTCACTATTTTAGTATTCATTTTGATTTTTTGGAAGACTTTTCTGATTCCATATTATGATCTTCATAGCTGTGAAATTATAAAATCAAAAAATAATTATTTAATATATAATATTAAATAAAAATTATAAATTATTAATATAATAATCATGGTTTTTTTTTTTTTTTGATACCCATCATATTAATGGTTACCTAACATAGTATAAGTAACTACAAGAGCACCTTAACACCAGCTCAAAATCTTTTTATTAATTAATAAAAAGTGACAAACATTTTGTAATTCCAAAGTTAATATTTTGGATTACACCAGTATGTATTTTTACATTTCAAAATTAATACAACGTAAAAATACATTCCGATATAATCTAAAATATTATTTTATACCTATAAATTAAATATCTACATAAAAATTTAATTTTAATTATTTCGATTACCTGATTAAAGCTTTAAAATCTCCAGCTATTAAAGCCACCAATAAAGGAGTAATCAAACAGGCTGGTACCAAGTATAACAAAGCTGGCTGAGCAGCTTTAAAAATGTGCATGATAAATACAGTTGTAAGCAATCCCAAAAAATATGCCAAAAATGTTGTATTGAAATACAAATTTGTTTTACGCTTTAAACTATAAAATATAATAAATTTATTATAAAATATTTGTTTTAATAAATTACCTTACGTATATACTAACCTTTGATCAAATCTTAATAAGAATGCAATAAAAATTCCTGGAATAACAATATCACCTAAACCTAACATGGCATAATTTTGGGAAGCTAAAATTCCATTTTCTAATAAATCTTGTGGAAATATAACTGTAACAAAAATGTATGGGGTATTAATTGAATTAATAACATTATAACACAATGATATTTATAAACTAATTAGAAATTAACTTTTGATAGGAGCATCAAATGATCTTGCAACTGTAACCATAACATTGGTGCCAAATACCCAAAATACATCATAAACAAATAGACCACATAAGAGGATACATCCAATTTTAATGTTGTTGAGATGTAACAATTCCACTCCATTTATAGCAAAAGCTAATCCAAATATATTGTTTAAAATCCAATGCTAAAATTAAAAGTAAATTATAATTTTAACTAAATATTAGGTATTAATTAATAAAAATACCTTGCTGTACAGGTAATATGATCCTAATATTCCACATACTATAAAGCATATTACATCATGTAATGTAAATTTAACATTTATCCAATCCAATTTTTTATCGCCTGCGCCTTCAGTAAATTGTAATTGGTACTTAGTTTTAGGTATACTTTTTGGTAATATGGAACTGAATTGATTACTAATTAAAAAAAAAAAAAAAGAAACCAATACTTCAAATATTATTATATATTTACTATAATATTTAAAGTTAAACTTGAACTCACCCAAGAAGATTACTTAAAGCAGCCACTCCAAGAATATAAAAATAGGCAGTCACTAACAAATTGATGTGCTCTTTAGAAAATATCTAAATAAAAAAAAAAATAATTGAAAACAGTGGCGTATGCAGGGGAGGTTAAGGGGTTGTAACCCCCCTCGAAATTTTCTCCGATGTCTAGGTTAAAATTTACAAATTTTAAAAGTTTGAAATATGAAGAGCTAGTATTGAATACCTAATATCATTGATTATAGAATAGTCTATTCTATTATCAAAGCTATTATTTAAGTCAAAATATATAAAGGATTTTCATAATTTTGTTAATCGTAAAATGTGTTATATTTTTACCTTGTCCCCCCCGAAAAAAAATCCTGTATACACCACTGGTTAAGAATACTTTTTTAATTAAGCCATATGTAAATGTGAATGACAATTTTGATTTTATTTTATTCAGCTATATATAAGTATATTATAATACAAATAAGATTTGATATATTGTTAAATTAAGTTTAGGTGCACTCACCATCCATTTTCCTTGATTTAAAAACTAACCGAATTAACCTTCATTATGCGTTTTCAGTGTATAAGAGTATATAGGTTTTGAATATATTATTAAAAAAATGAATAACATATAATTTGTACATATATTTTCTTGATTCTAAGTCCTTATAGTCTCCAAACCAGATAATAAATCATAGGCGTAACAAGTCAAGTTTATTTTTAAAAATATTTCCACAACTTATCACTACTTGCAAAGTAATTAGAAATATCACTTTTAAGAGTCTAACCTTAGATATTATCAGAAATCTTTTTTTTTACTTATTTTCCCAACTTTTTACGGTTAATCTCTCCAGTCTTCTACATACATCAGATCCTCATATCACTTTTGATAAAGACACACCATAACTTAATTTAATCTTATTGATTTTGTTTATTATTTGAAATAATTTAGCATCAATTTTATATGTTTTTACAAAAAAAAAAAAAGAAAAAGTAATAGTGAACTTTAATAAAAAGTATTAAAAATATGTATTTGAAAAGTTATTAGACATTGGTATTGCAGTAATATTATAAATTTATAGAGAATATAAATATTATTTTTAGATTAGCAATCCAAAAGTAACAAATTATTTCATAATTATTTAACCGTGTAATAATATATATATACTATGTGCACATTCAATCATAATTATATTGTTTAAGGGGGTCAAATAATATTTTAAGTATTGTATGATAAAAAACATTCAATTTTTATGGTTTTAAGATATTATTAGATATTTAAAACATAAATATCATCAGTTATTATCAGGGCTCAAGACTTCTAGCATTTGCATATTTATTCATAGGATGTTAAAATATAGCAGAGTAAGCTACAAATCCGTTTCATAGTAAAAGGAATGCAGCTTTAAAAATTTTTAGAGCATATTTTGATACATTTTAGGGTTTTTAGATATTTTCTACTATTTTTTAAAGTATCATGCTATTTTTTGCATATAATTTGTTTAACTGAAAAAAATGAAGTAGTTTTGAGAGTTTTGTGAGCACCAAGTGGTAAATTTCTATTTTACAAAAGTAAAATGTAAAAACGTATAAAGCCGCGTTTATATTAAAACTGTTCAATGTGAATGCAGATTCGGCCTAAAAACTATTTCGTTCAATCATTCACTTTTATAAAGTAAATGCAGCTTTCTTTTTGAATTACTTGACAATGACGATGCAGTCAGCATTAAAGAAGCAACAAAATGTATCAATAAAAACAGAATAGACGAAGATCTTATTTTTATCAAATCAATCAAATTCTTTGTCCCTTACTACATCTTTCAAAAAATTACAAACACATGGGTTGTTATTATCTGACTATATTGAAATACTTAAGAAAAATGTAGAAAATTTTTTTAAAACTCTACGAGGTCCAATTGGATTGAAAATACAGTTAAAATTAAAACAAGTTTTAAAAAAAATACCGTTCTATCACTTTAAAAAAAAATTTCTCGCATTTTATTGGGTATAAGAGACATTGAAAAATTAGATAGTTTTCCAGATGATATTACTTGTAGTGATGTTCCGTACTTCAAGTTCGCCACTATCACATCGGTCGATGTAGAACATTCATTTTCAACGTACAAAACATTTCTAACCAATAATAGAAGCTCGTTCAAATTTTAAAATATTCACATACGCGTGATAATATAGTGCAATTTTTAAGGTAAAAACCAAAATTTATAATTTGTTATTTTTAAATTATAATATTTACTTACTAACTGATTTATTGAACTTTACCAATTATTTTTATAGAATGAAGAAATGATATGTATGTACAATGGTCGAAAAAAAGAAAAACACTCGTGAATGTATATTAGAATTGGATTATATATAAATAAATATTTTCAGAATAAAAATTAATTGAAATAAATGTTTTTAGATTTTTTTAGAGCATATTTAATTTTTTTATTGAGCATATTATAGTGCATATTTTACTATTTTTTAAGGCATATTATAGCTCATATTTCATGGTTTTTCAGAGCTAGAAGTCTCGAGCCCTGGTTATTATTTACTTAAAACCTTAAAGAATAATTAAATTTAACTTGATTTAATGTGATTCACAAAAATCAGTCATTAGTTAAATTTAGCTAAACAATAAAAAACTTCAATCAATAAGTCATTGTAAATCATCATTATGAGCTATACTATGAGTTTCAATTATGTTAGACTACTGCCCTATGATAATTTGTTGTACTTTTATTGAATTGAATAAGTAATTTTTTTTAGTAATTCTTATATTAATTGAAATATTTCCCGACCAAAATTTGTGAACACCATTAACTACATATTGATAAACTTCAATAATAAATTAATCTTTTACCCTGAACACTAAATAGAATGAAAAAAGAGCTCCACTGGCAATCAATGGAAACATTAAAGCATCTTTCTCTGTCATTGACTCAGGAACTTCTTTTTTTAACTGAAATATTAAATAAGATTTTTATCATAATGATAAGATATAACTATTTTGTTAAAAATACTAACTTTGTTCTGCATGTGAAGACGTACTGATCGGAACGATCCAAGAAATATTGGTACTAAAGCCATGATAACTAAACTGGTATATGCAATCAGCATACCTTCAGTAGTGGCTGGAATTCTTTTATAGAATGTCTCCGTATTTGTACCATTTGTTTCATTTATAGTTTTAACTATGTCATCCACGGCTTCAGCCATGGTCAAAGAAATTGAATTGATAAAATGAAACTTAACTAAATGGTAAAAATTGCTATTAACTTGTTAAATAGTTGAATTGAAATAAATGTTAATTCCTAAAAGTGAAATCTATCCACATCACAGCCTACACGCAACAATCACTGGACGTGTAGTGAGTTTGGTAGTATGCGGCGGAGTAAAATGTTGACGTAAACCAAAACCAACGATTGGTGCACGTCAACTAATGATAAGTGATAAGTCAGCTGAGAATCGTGAATTTATTTTTGATTATACGGTCAACCTGATCTTATCAATAAGTCATGACGATACGTAGTAATTGTTGTTAGTACTTGTAACTCGCACTATTTGTTTACATTTTGCACGTAAACCGCAAACTCAGATGTACATATAAATCTTAGTCCGTGATGTAGGCAATAAACATAGTACATAATCATTAGTAAAACGAGGAGTGCGAATGATTAGAATGATTAGAAATCTGTTATGTTTACCAATGACTGGTAATTAACCTTTGCGTGCGTCCTGTGATATTCAAGAAATTTTCCGTTGATTTCATTAAGTTATTTTATATAAGCTCAAAATGTCAGAAAAATGGAAAGCAGAAACAACAATTAAGTTTATCCAGGAATTTAAGCGATATGAATGTCTCTGGAATCCTAAACATGTTTCTTATAAAAATAAACATATGCGGGAATCTTCTTTTCAAAACATTGTGAATGAGATGGCTATACCTGGATTTAATGTAGCAGAAGCGAAAACAAAAATGCGGAATTTAAAATCCACCTACTATCAAGAGAAAAAAAAGATTGAGAAATTGAATTCATCTAGAGGCAGTTCAAACAATATGTATGTAACAAACATAAAATGGTTCGTGGAAATGGATACATTGTTAAAGGATGCAGATGAAAGAAAAATCACTTTTGATAATGTAAGTATATATTATATAATGAAATAATATAGTTAATGTAATTCATAACTTATCAAAGATTCACAATTTAATATAATCATAAATAGGTAAGTTAATTATTAATATTGATGGTTTAATGAATCATTCTTAATTGCTAAGAGACAGCACCTTTATTTTATATTATCTAGTATAACTACAGAATATATGAATTAGGTATGGGCTTGATTTATCGATATTCTGCTTTTATTTATCGATATAATTTGATATTTTAAATGTATCATAAAATCTGTATATCACTGGTATTTTTTTTTTCTTTGTCCTGGCCAGTCTGCCTTAAAATTACTATGATACGAAAATTAAATTACAGTTTATATTTAAAATAATGCGGGAAAATTTATCTCTGAATAAATCAATAAAAATAATCCAAATGTCTACAATCTATTTTATGTCCATTGCTTTCTAACCTATTTCCCATTATTGGTTATACACTTACACGTTTATACATACGTCAGTCTACATCTACTTCTTCATTGGTAAACTCGGCCACTATTTTTTTTTTTTTTTTACTTACTTTACTTCTATACTTCTTCTATTTCTTCTTTGGTCAACTCGGCAACGCTATTAAAATATATTAAAATAAATAAAAGTCTATTGTATTATTTTTTTGTTTTAAATTAGAAAAAAACGTTTTGTAGAATTGTTGTTCCTTAATATTTCATGTTTAATTTTGTGACTGAAAAAAATGTTGATAACAAATATCAATATTATAAAAAATAACGTTATTTTTATAAAAAAAATGTCGATAACAAGCAATTAATTTATGATATAGTGATATCGATACTTTTTTGTACAAATCATGTCTATGAAGAATACAGATGGCTTACTGATTTTGTAAACATAAACGATTAGGTTTATCGCCGCATCGAAATCAGTCTGATCACCATGAAAGCAAAAAATTCCGTCTTGTCCATGAAAAAAAAAAATTGTTTTCTGATGGTCTGGAAGCCAATATTGAAATTCAAACCGGTTTCACTTTTAGGCTGGCCGCACACCAAAAAAGCAAAACTGCTTTAGTCATCGTTAGTCATTTTTGTCTAAAAACAATTAAAAACAGTTTGTTTTGGTCGGTCGTACACCAAAAAAGCAAAACTGTGTAGGTCATCATTAGTCGTAAAATTGTAGTATAGTATTTCAGTCACCAACATGTCTTCCGACGAAGAAGAAGTTATTGTTCCTATTTTGTGGTCTTTGTTGTTAAATATCGAAGAGGATGAAAAACAAAAAAGAATGTGGGTTCATCCTTTAAATAAAAAACGTACAACAAATAATTTAATCAAATGTTTTTTACGTGAATTACGTAATGATGATTTAAAATTTAAAAATTTATATAGGTATACAAAATGTATAATGTATAAAAAAATTTGAAAATATATATATTAATATATAATATAATATATAAAATATATATATAATATATAAAAACAGTGATCATATATTATGATTAATTATGAATTGTAATTAATTATATTAATGAACGATCGTTCTGCAACGTCAGTGGTATCCAACTAGTTAACCATCTGATACCGGTCAAACTGACGGTTTGACTAATAAAAATTGTTTTGTTTTGACTGACGGAATAGAGCATGTTCTATTTCGATAAAACACGATTAGTCATGACTAGAATTGACTGAAGAGTAAAAATGTTTTGTTTTGACTATGACTTATCAGTGTGCGGGTTTCACTGAATTACATGTGTTCTATTTTTAATTAGTCATAATAAAGCTGCCTCAGTCTGCTTTAAGCAGTTTTGCTCTTTTGGTGTGCGGCCGGCCTTAGCATTACATGAGGGTCCTTATCTTGAACTCTTGCATTCCGTTAGGTTATTCTAACGTTTTGTGTGACTTCCATGTGATATATTCATATGATTTTAAAAAATTTTAAGCTCAATGGTACTACAAAATTTAAAAATGATCAGTGAAAAAACTGGTTGTTTTATGGAATTTTGCAAAAGTAAAGCAAATATCAGGAATATCAGTCTTTTCTAGTATTCAAAAGACGAGCGTCTAGCATTTTGGATTAAAAATTGTTATGTTAAAAATTTGATCAATGCACTTTCTAAAACAAATAGTAATAAGTTTGTGGAGAACAATTTAAAAACTCAATGTTTTTAAACTTCACAGCCAAAAATCGACTAGTTTTCAATGCAATTCCATCAACATTTATTGGTAAGTAATTAGTATAATTATTAAAATATAACTTATAATTAAAAATATTTCAAAAATGAATTTTGATTTTAATAAGTGCACAACTCAATTATTTTTAATTTATAATTTTAGATGAAATATTATTTGAAAGATCAAAATTGGCTGGACTACAATAAAAAACCCATGATTCTCCACTGCATTTTGATGATAATTTAAATGATGAAAGTGGCTGTAGTAGTTCAGTTCCAAGTTCAGAAGGATTATGAAGTCAGTTAAATGTTTCCATGAATATTTCTGATATTTCAAATGAATCTTTCATAACTATAACTACTGATTCTTCAAACCAAACATCTAGGTGTTCAGCAAAGACACTAAGAAAATAAAAACTGGCTTTGGAAATTAAATCTGGAGAAGAGAAATAAAATATTTAAAAAAAAAGACTGGTTAGTTTAAGCCAAAAACTATTTAACTATGATACAGTTGTGAGTTATTTAAGATTAAGTGAAAAATATTTATCACCTTGATTGTTTACTATGGTTAAGTCTCATATTCTCTGTTCGCCGAGAGAACTCTACTTGTTCGCGTATTCCCAGCACTTTTAGTACATTTGGTTTGCCGTTTCGAACTCAAATTTTTCACACTACGCGGCTACCGATATGTGATTGCGTTGAAAACAGGCCCGTAGCCAGGCCAAATCTTCAGGTGGGGCAGACAAAATTGTAGCGGGGCATTAGAAAAAAATCAATATTAATGCTATTTTTAATTTATTAATACTGTAATTTTTATAATAGGTACTCTAAATTAAAATAATAAGAATTAGAATAAAGTGAACATAATTACATTTTGAATATTTTTATAATATATTATTTTTTGAATTTACCAGTTTTTTTTTTAAACTGAAACAGTTGTAATTTTCTATCTTTTTGCTTGTTGAGTTCCATTAATAATACATCCAAATTTAGAATTTTAGGATCTAATGAAATGGTGAATGTTATCGGTTCGATATGTTATACCATTGATTATAGAATATTCTATTCTATTCTATAATCAATGGTTATACTTATTGTTCGGTGTTGTCGTCAGACATCAATCAGATGCCATCGTATTTTCCAGTGCAAATGCTATACAATATTGCTAAAAATAATTTCTTATATTAAACAGTGCTTCTACTGCCGATGAAATTATTATCAAGCAATAAATTATATTATATTTAACTACCACGGCTGTAGATAGTAAAAACCTACTATCTACATTCATGCTAACTACTAAATGTCATGACATTATTAACGTTTGTTGGGGGGGGGGGGCAACAATCAAGTCTAGGGGGGCAACGCCCCCCTTTGCCCCCCCGTGGCTACGGGCCTGGTTAAAAAGTGGTGGGAATGCGCAAGAATAGACGAGTTTTGGCCGCCGTCTAGTTGCGTTTTTTCGGCAAATAAAGTATAGTTTATGAACCAAACAAAAAGGTGGTTATAGATTAAGTAATGAAACCAATCAATTAGCATTAAATATTTATTTTTTAGGACCTAGAGTCTATAAGCTTTTATTAAACACTTTTTCAACACTGTAATTTCTCAAAGATCAATTAAAAGAATAACTCTACAGTTAAAACTTAATTAAATTAACGACCAACTGTGTGGAATTGATTTTAAAGGGTTCCCAATATTAGCCAAACACTGGTCAAACATAAAAATCTGTTTTTCTTTGATTATTTATTTTGGATTTCTTCCTGAACTATTTCAGGTGCTTGACAGTCGTTTTTAGTTTTACCAAGTTATTGCAGGGCTCCACAATGTACACGAGGTAAATAACCATGCAAGACTTCGTACTGGGTTTTTGATGTAGATTAGTTCTCAACTGTTTTCAATATACGAGTACGTTTTACCTCGTAGACTTATTGATCCCATGTTTATTTGGATTTAGCTATGATACTTAACAATGACACTATGGTACGATTTGTACATTCTGCCTGTTTGTTGGCCTGAGGGTGTCTCGTAAAGTTCAGGGTATGAGCAATTCTTCTATCTTGGCAAAATTATTTGAATAGGTGAAATGTGAAGAAAGTTCTCCGATCACTAATAATCCTGTCAGATATCCCTCGATTGTCACAGAACTGTTTCATTAACTTGACCACACCCAGGGCGTCAGTAGTTTTGCATGGAAAAAGTTGCACATATTTTGTTAGGTTATCTACTAAGACAAATAAATATTTATTCTTTGAAGTGCTAGTTTCAAAAGGTCCTTGATGGTTCACGTGAATTGTAGAAAATGGCCTTTTCTTTGGGGCTGCTGGTTTTTTTTATGTAGTAGACAATCCAAGCACACAAATATGTGTTATCTAACATAACATCACATGTAAGAAGACCAATAGTAAGAGGTGATTCGACTGATGGTATTTTCTACCGAAAAAATGGCTGCCGAAATCATGGGCTGCAATCACCACTACTTTGCGCATAGACTTCGTTACTACCAGAAGCGGTTTGTTCTGCAGTACGCAATACAAAATGCCATCACAAAGTTCATAATTGGCAATGAGATTGACTAACTGTTACGTCCGAACATGATGAAACATATGATTAGATTTTTTTTTAATTCTTTTATTGATAATGCTGTTTAATCCTTTTTATTGTTCTAGGGATGTCTTGATGACCACCCATTGGTAAATCATATCATTAATTTATAATTTTAATTTCTTCAGAATATTCGTCAAATTAGAATACCAATAACTCAATTTAAGAGCCTTTGAAAATTTATCTGAGCATAATATGAATTGCATGTCATTGCAAATTATTTAGACTACAAGAAATTTTAGACAAG